GGATTCGTAATTGGCCTTATCGGAAACTGTTGGAGGATTGCCTTGGAGTTATGATTATAGCTTTGCGCAGATAATGGTTATGTACATGGATTACTACTTTGCCGTATGGCAACATGACAAAGAAAACCGAGGGAAATTTCCAACAGTGATGAATGGATTCGGCGGGAATATGAAGTTCATTCTGGAACTATAAAAGAATGTTAGTTTACCTTTTATGGATGTCATAGTCATCAAAGAGGGAAACAACCTGAATAGGAATCTGTGAAATATTTTTCACATTGTTTAAAGAGACGAATGTAAGGGATTCGTAAATTGGTTACATCGGAGGCTGTAGGAGGATTACCTTGGGGCTTTGATTGTAGATTTGTGCGAATAGGTCATCGGCGCACCGCACTGCGACCCCGATGGATTCTTGCTGAGTTTTCTCTGTCATGTGACGGACATCGTCAGAGAAGGACACCGTGTATTACGATAATTCACCATGCACAAAGACAAGCAGGCTGCAATCCTGCATACTTTTTACGGGTTGACTAGGTCCACTTAATGAGACATCTCTTGATTTGTTTGGAGATCCTATGCTTTTCCTATATACTGTTGAAAAGTAGAGGGGCTGCGGATGATGTCTGAGTTGGCTGCAATTAAAGCATGAAATAGATACAATTGTGAGTGAATAGCTGCATCCCCTACAGCACACCATTTTTGTTTGATGCTGCAATTTCCTGCGTGTGATTGTTTTCCATTGCACGTATTTTTTGGGCATGCAATGCTCGTGATACACGGTTGATTAATTTGCTGTATGAAAAGGGAACAGAAAATGCCTAGGAGAATTTCAAACATTGATTAATACAATATACGGGAATATCAAGTTCATCATGGAATTTAAAAAATTATGATAATTTACCTTTTCTATATGCCATAATTAGCAGAGAGGAGTAGACTAGCTAGGAATGTATATAGGAAATCCACAAATGTGGGGTTCCTTTTTGAATTTCTTTTCAAGCCATGTAGGAGATTAAGTAAGAATTACCTGTGGCTATTGGATAGGATTTGAGAGAAAGAGAGAGAAGGAATAAGAAGTACCACCTAGCAAGAGGAGACTTTGCATATTGCTGAAACTGATTCGGAAAAGATAAGGCATCTGTAAGATCAGCAAAAGAGATCGCTAGAAGATCAGAAAGGAAAAATCGCAATCAAAGTCAACACATCTTCATTGAGCCTAATCAAAACAAGTAGAACCACAATATTTGTTGGTTGACACACAAGAGACTAAGGCTTAGGATGTCATATAATTGGTACTATGGATAGAAACATGATAGATGCGATGGAGACTAGAGCTATTTGGCTAACAATAGACGTGCTTTATCATAGATGTGGTCCATGAAGCACGCATATTTTTTAGTCAACTAGCTATAGTCTCCGCTGCATCTATGACATCTATGCACTAGTCTCTTATGTGCCACCCACATGTTGTGCTCATACTTTGCCCTAAATAATTCTCTCCCTTATTCCTATCACCACCACATTCGAAAATGACGATATTGCCTCATTATGATTAGGTTAAATGTAGGCCCACAACTTTTTTGGGTTGGAACAAGAGACTAGGGCATAAGAAATTATTGACTTGGTAGTATTACTAGGAACATGATAGATGCGTCGAAGACAAGAGCTAGTTAGCTAATAGTAGACGTGTTTGCTCATAGACGTGGTCCATGAAGCAAAGACTTGATTATGAGAATTGCTAGAGGTCTTTAAGCTCAAACTAGTCTCCTAGAGGCAGATTGTGGGAAATGACGCCTCAAGTAGCACAGATAGGGTGCCAGGAATCGAATGAAATACTTTAATCAGAGAGATAGACGGATCCAACAGGTCAAGAGGTAGACTGATAAGACTTATGTGAGAAGGACTGCGGAACAATATTGCAGACTCTGATATACATTCTCAGCACAAGGGTGAAGGGAGGTTTGGAAGTGAGAAAGCCAGAATGGGATGTGGAGAGTTCTCATGAAATCTGTTCAAAAGGGCATACCATACCACATTTAAATATGAGAGTAAAAATTGTGATAGTGAAGGGGGTATACGAGGTTATAGGGTTGGTGATTATCCAAGGGCGGATGGAGAGATACCTCGATTGTTTTCAGACAATTTGTCAAATGATAGGCTTCACTTGTCTCTGACGCGTTGTAGTATGGTGCTAAAAGTGGCAATGCTTATAGACAATGCCGGCGAAACGCCTGGGAATGTACCACGTCCATTTTTCGACTCTGGAAATGGTCATGCATACTATCGATTCCGGACGAGATGCGTTCCTTTAGGTCTTTATACCATTATGACCAAGTTGCGAAAATAAGGTCAAGCAACTTCTTGACTATATGAATTTGGATTAAAGTAAGAGAATACAGCTCTAGGGGCCTGGGACAAAGGGAGGGGAGGAGAAATGTCACCAACATTAAACTGAATGATGTAAAGTAATTTTCATTTAGTTTGAACAGGCGAGTGGAAGGGATTTGTAAGTTGATTGTAGATTCGTGCGAATTATCCCTCGACTCATCGGCACGCACTCGCGATGAATCCTTACTGAGCTTTCGTTCGTTATGAGGACAGGCGTTCGTCAGAGCAGGACACCAGACTCAACGATAATTCACCAACAAACACAACGGCAAGAAAGTGCCCGGCTTCAGATCTACCTACTTATAGTTTAATTTGGTCCACTCGTTATTGTTTATCTCATTTAGCTGTCAAGGTAAAATTTGCTAGTGTGACTAATCCCAGAAATGGAATGAGTAAAAACCCCTTGTAGTCTCGATGTTTTGATCCAAAGCTGATATTAAAGTTAGTATTGCTTCGCTTTTCAGAATAATAAGGTATATCAAAATAACTGAGAGACGAATTTTATAAAATAATTACATTATTTAATTTGAAGAAAGTTTAATTCAGGAGACACTTTTAGTTCCTAAATTATTCGTTCGCTATATGAACGACTATTTTGCTATTTGACAAAATGGTAAAGAAAACCTATGGTTTGATGAACAGGATCGATGGTAAGACGAAATTCACTATCTAGGTGGTTTACTTTTTCTTGATGTCCTAGTTAGCGCACCGGATCAGATTAGGTAAAGATGTATAAGGGAAACCAATAAATACAGGTTTCCGTTTGAATTTATTTTCCAACCATATTTATTGGGTTAAAGGGGGAGTTATGATGTCTATTATGATAAGGAGCCAGCGTATGGCAGATTCAAGCATCGGTTTCAGGAATTGAGAGGACTTAGAAGAATGGTGGCTGAGAATAATTATCCACGAGGACTGTTAGCCAATTATTTTAAAATATTCTTAAATAGGATGGAGGGAAATACATATTTGTGGGGGCTAGATAAAAAGTTAAATCACTGTCATCGTGTAATCTGTCGAAGAAGATAATCGAATTACTGAGGTGGGACACCAGTATTATTTATAAAGAGAACATATCACTTTCCTCGGTATTGACTTCTTTTCGAGAATACTCTGATCCTCTCTCCAGATCAAGCTGTTACAAGATTTTGTATTAATGCGCTAGCGCCATTATTTCAGAGACCTATAGGCACATATATAAGAGGTTATCCGAACACAAAACGGTCTGCAAGGGATTTGTTGAACACATGGCTCGCACAGGACACCAAATAGATTGGTCTAATACCAAACGTTTAGCTGGATATGATCTATGAGTGAGTGAGTGAGTGAGTGAGTGAAAGAGAGAGAGAAAAGTGCCACAGAGCAAGAGGAGGCTTGATCAGGCTCGGATCTGGTTTTGACTCTCACATCACACTCATTTCAAGAGAAATGCATTCACACAACATGCATATAATGAAACACAATCACATGCAGTAATATTGCAGGATCGAAGGCATACGTATTTTAGTTGAGGATATAGCTGTTACATTGAAGCTAGGCTTACTTCTGTCATAGTAAGCCACACCAGCATATCATCTTATAGCAACTCGGTATGTAAATATGGCCAGGGGATTTTCGTACACAGTTTAAACTCCAGGTAAATCTTGTTCTTTATTATCATTTTTAGCCTATTTCTTTCCCGCTTCCTTTATTTATACTCAATAACAAAATCCTAGTAGATTTTTCAGGCTCTCCTTTGCCCTAAATAATTATCTCCCTTATTCCTATTACCACCACATTTGAAAGTGATGATAATGACTTATGATTTTCTTCGAAGCCTGTGAATCTTTATTTATTTATTTATTCCACGAAACTTCGGTCAGCAATTCTGATTTCACTTTACTGTTCCTCTTTTTCATTTATTTGTGCTTCTAGCATTATTTGTTCCTACTTCAACTATGACTTATTTTAAATTCTCGTGGTTCAGAAATTGTTGTATCTGCAGTAACATCTCTCGCTTAAAAGACTTCAATCAACTTTGTTCTTCATCCCTTATAGCCAATCTCGATGGCCTATTTGACCCCATTTCTGGTGCTCCCTTGCCGGGCCACTTGTTTTCTGGACCAACTGTGTTACCTGTTGAAGGACTCGCTACGACAGTTTCAACTGCTACTGGTACGGGCAGTGGGCGCAAGGTGAAGAATAAATTGAAGAGCAATGCTGCAGCGCTTGCCGCTGCTTCGGCCTATGCCTCGTCCAATATTATTTCAGGACCTGGGCAAAATGGAGGTTCTGTTGGACACGGCATTGCATCAGGCCTCAGTGATACGACGGGCCTCCCTGTCTGTATTCCTTTTGCAGGTCATACTAACCAACATGCTCTACTCCTAGCACGATTTCGAGGATATCACTTCTTTGAAGTAATCTTCTTTTATATATGGTCATGCATGTCCACTAATATTAATAATATCCATTTTATTCATTTTGTTTTTTGTGTTTTGTTTATTTTATAATAAAATAAATTAAGATTACCTAAGTTACTTAGGGTTAATCTTCTATTGTTATACTTATATATTTTTTGTCGGGGAGACTTTCATTTCATATATATAGATACGAAGATAAACTGGATTTCGATTAATCTCCTGACTTTCATTTCGCATGAAAGTGCATGAAGACGAGATTCGTAGGTCGATCTCACCAGATGAGGACGGCTGAATCGCGTTGTACTGCAGTCGTTTTGCTTTTATACGACGTTCAGATTAACACAATTCACGAGACTTCTTCCTTCCTTTTGGGTGAAAACGGGCTGAGCTTTCGTCCATCATATGATGGACATCACCAGAGCTTGGTCTCATTCCTGTAAAAATCGTACTCTATATCTATCTAGGTTTTTTATTTTTTTTGGCTTTATTGAGTCTATACAAGAGGTAAGATAGAGCCGCATAGTCTTCTTGCCCTAGTTTTAACGTGAGACTTTTACAGGAATTAGACCAAGCTCTGATGATGCCAATCATATGATGGACGAATGCTCAGCATGCTTTTACTCGAAAAGAGGGAGGAGGTCTCGTGGACTGCGTCAATCTGAACGTCGTATAAAAGCCAAACGGCTGTAGTATAACGCGATTCATCCGTCCTCATCTGGTGAGATCGACCTAGGAATCTCTTCTTCAAGCACTTTCATGCGAAATTAAAATCTCCCCAACAATGCTATATCAGGAGATTAATCGAAACCCACTTTCTCTTCGTATCTATATATTTCTTGTTTTATTCCTTTGGCAACTTACAAGTTGTCAGTTAGTTATTAGCTAATCTCGACCTATGTGGTATCAAACTTTGTTTATTTTTTTCGTCGGTTTTTTAAAATATTTGATTATGGGTCCTTATGGAAATCCAGCCAAAGATTCTGGAATTATGTCGAGTCATTGCGATCTAGTCTCTAAAAAAGCTTTGATTTTAAAATCGGGACAGTATCTACCTCATCCAATATTCATCATTCATTTTATATGCTTATACTGATCATTTATCCTTTTTATATCGTTCAACTTTACGGATATATTATTTATATTTCAAAATGATCACTGAAATTTATTTTCTTATTCGTTTTATGCACTTTCTAATGAAATTGGATCGTTTCTAGTCT